ACACGACTGTTGTGAAGTGCGGGGTCAGGTCAGGTGTGTGCAACCCTGGCGCGGACGTGGAGTGTGGTGTGTGGTTGCAGGCTCACTGAGCCGTGCTTGCATGTGATGCGTGGGCTTGTGCACACTTTCCAGGACATGCTCCTGGAGTGGGGCAGCACTAGGTTAGAGGGCAGTCTTCTCTCGTTCAGGGCTTTAGGGTTCACCTCCTGGAAGGCTGTCAGCTACAGCAGGGTTGTTTAGTTGTGTGTCCTTTGTAGCTCTGGAGGAGTCATTTTTCTAAGTGAGGAAGCGTGCGTCTCTCAAAGATGAATGAAAGTTGCTAGTGATCAGGTTCAAACTGTTTCCAACCTCACCACCCAGAAAAAAGTGTTAGAGGAGTAGCGATTAAGAGGTCTGAGTGGCTTTATGTGATCAAGATGAGCCTGCTATGTCTTCATGAGCTAGGCAGGTCTGTTTAGAGCAGTGGTTCTCAACCTGGGCTGCACATTAGAATCACCTGGGAATCTTTTTAAAATCCTGATTTCTGGGCCTCATCCTCCGGAAATTCTGTTTCTTTGTTATGGGGTGGGGCCACAACATTAGTAACAAAGAAACAGACTTTCCTGAGGATGAGGCCCAGAAATCAGGATTTTAAAAAGATTCCCAGGTGATTCTAATGTGCAGGTAAGGTTGAGAACCACTGGTTTAGAGGCAGGCGGGAGCTGGTGTGGGCTCTGGGGGGGCAGAGACCAGGACTCCTGGCCCCCTGTTCTCATCCCAGGGGCAGGAAGGAAGCAGGGACAGAGGAGAAACCGCCTGCATTCCCGCAGGTAGGATTCAATGGTCTGAACTTACACGGAGAAATATTTACAACCTTTCCCCCCAGCCGCTAGGAAATTTAGCATTTTCTTAATTGTGAAAGTAGCAGCAAGACATAGGAAGTGGTTAGAAAACGGATGACTGTGTCACTGGCAGAAGTCACAGGCACCTGCAAAACTGGCATGAAAGAGTCTCAGAGTATCATTTCTGCGTGAAAACATGGTCGTTTTTGAATGTGATAATAAAGAATCCTATATATTATTATGCTAGGGTTTTTTTTTGTATTTTATTAATTCTATTTCAATATAGTCTGTTTGCTTGTAATCGTGTGTGTCTTATTTTATGTAATTTAAAACATTTTTCCCGAGAAGAGGCCCATGAGCGTCAGCAGACTGCAGAGTGGGTCCATAGTACACAAAGGTCACATCCTCTCCGGCTGTCAGGCCCCTTCCTAGAAGGTGCACGCCGTATCCCCCTCGGATGGCTGCGTACATCGGTGGCGTGGCCTCGGAGGCGACGTGCCCCACCCCCATTAGGGCTGTCATTGCTAAGGAAGGAAGAGGGGCGTTTGGGAGCAGCCAGTGTCCTCTGACTCAGGGGTGAAGGAGGACATGAGCAGAGGCTGTGAGGTTGGTGTGGTGGGAATGACCCGCCTCACTCTGCACAGTATTTTAGGACGCTCTGCAGTCTTAGATTCAGCCGAGCAGATATTTATAGATCGCCCAGGATGTGGGACATGGGCTAGGACAGTGATGGCGAACCTATGACACTGACACGCGAACTCATTCTTTTGGTTAATTTTTCTTTGTTAAATGGCATTTAAATATATAAAATAAATATCAAAAATATAAGTCTTTGTTTTACTATGGTTGCAAATATCAAAAAATTTCTATATGTGACACGGCACCAGAGTTAAGTTAGGGTTTTTCAAAATGCTGACACGCCGAGCTCAAAAGGTTCGCCATCACTGGGCTAGGAGAACACTAAGGTTGCTGGTTTTCAAATTCCAGTTGTTTTTTTTTACCATGGTACTATTACTTACCCTGTAATTCCTTTTTTTTTTTTGAATGTACACTTGAAAAATGTGGAAGTCTTTATTTAAAGAGGTAAGTTTATCTGATTACAGTGACTGGAGAGCCACAATGGGTTGACTTAAATAGCAGGTGACTGTAAAAATGAAGACAGGGAGAAGGCAACCGTGTTATGAAGCTGACCTCGCTGCTGCCTGTGCCGGCTGTGACTGAGGCCATTGTTGAAAAGACAGACCAGTGGGTGAGAGCATTGGGAAGGTGGAGGGCTGTCCTCTGCTGACCCGGACGTTGCCCTGGAAGCAGTCGGAAGGCTTGGAGAAGTGAGGGGGGCTGGCCTCTCTGATCACTGTTATGTGACGCCTTGTCCTTGCAGCACGGGATGCTGTCTGTTTAAGTGGGGACACCTCCATGTAGGGGTGAGGCTTGACCCTGTGCATCTACAGAACAGGGGTTTTGCCTTATTTCCATTTGTTTTGAAGAGGACAGTGATCCTGAGATTGGGGACATGAATAGCAGGCTTCATGGCTCCTCGTTCTAGGCACATTTGTAGAGAACAGGCGGCTTCTCACACCCAGAGGTCCCAGCTTTGGCTGCCAAGTAGGTTCCTGCTCCCCGGGCTGAGGCCCCGCCTCTCAGGTACAGGGTTCGCTTTGTCACTGCTCTTTGGGGCGTACAGAGACCGCGGACTGTGAGTCTTCCTCAGCCATTTTCTGTCCTTGAGGAAGTCACTGGCCCTGCTTGTGTGTGTTCACTGAGGAGGCTGCTCTGAACAGTTATGCTGATGGCAGGGGTGTAAGCCATTTTTCTTATTTTTACTCATACAGTTTTCTAAAAATGTAAACCCAGTTTATTATTTCTCATCTTTGGCAAGTAGAGACATGTCCAGAGTGTACAGTTGAATCTCTGAGGAATAGGTCACTACGTCCACATTTTGACGCTCTGTATCTGTGAGTGTGGTGTGTGGGGGATTGCTGTGTGGATATGGGGGTTCTGTGTTCTAGGTGGCTGTAAATTTCAGGGAGTCTAATGGGGGCAGCACTGTCGTCCATCCTGTGTGTGATCTGGCTGAGAAATCAGGGTTCTTAGAAACTGAGTGGAGGGGGTTTTGACTTGTGTACCCCCTCCCTGCCCTACCTCCTGTGTCATCACAGGACAAGAAGAGCCGTCTGTCTGGGTAAGCAGGGTGTATTACTGGTAGTTTGCTCGGGCCGCCATAATAATAAGCCACAGACTGGTGGCTTAACCAGCAGACACCTATTTCTCACAGTCCTGGGGGCTGGCAGTCCAAGATTAAGGTGCCGGCAGGGCGGGTTTCTGGGGAGAGCTCTCTCCTTGGCCTTTTCTCTGTGCACATGCATCCCTGCTGTCTCTGCTTCTTCTTGTAAGTCCTGTGGATGAGACCGCATTTAACCTTAATGACCTCTGAAGCCCCACCTCCAAATGCAGTCACACTGGGGGTGAGGCTTCAACATAGGGATTTTGGAGGGATATGGTTCAGTCCATAACACAGGGTGTCCCGGGAGCCGTGTCCCAGAGTGACCCCAATTCAAATTAAGTGTCGCATCCCAGCATGTGACACACAGGGTTCTACTTGAGAGATGCTTGACTCTCACAAACCCCAGAAGAGCCTGGCAAAGAAACCCCACCTTGGTGCTCCCCGTAGCAGGGAGCGTGTCCTCACGCCCCGCCAGTGGCTTCTCCATGTCATTAAGTGCTCTGTGCCCGTGGCTGCCTGGACACTGTCCTCCAGCTGAGCCTCAGTGCTGGGGCAATTGACAGTCCCCTGCCCAGCAGCCTCCCCTGGACATCTCTGAAAGGCTCTGCAAAGGCGAGGGCTTGGTCCTAGCATTTGGGCGTATAGTCTTATTATTTAGCACCCAAGAGAGGGTGGTTGAGCAGACCCCCATTACTGCTGTCTCTCTACCAGGCCCTTTATACTTAAGAAAACAGAAAGCCCATGACGAAATCTAATTATTTAGTGGAGTAGTAAGGACAGTGTCGAGCAGACCAGAACACCCACACTCTGGCTCGGGCACTTTCGGCTTCTTCGGTTCCGGCTTTGGGTGTGCAGGCTTGTGCCTGGTTGGAGTTGCCTCATGGCTGGCGCTCGTGGGAGCAGTGTGCCCTCTCAGCTAGGCTGCCGGGTTCCGGTTTGGCTGGGTGGCCTTCAGTCTCTCAGTGCCTTGCTGCCCTGTGCAGACGTAAGATGAAAACCCATCTCGGATGGCCATTGTGGAGATCAGCTGTGATGTTCTTAGAAGAGTATTCGGATCAGAGCCAAGAGTCACTATTAGCTGTTATCAATGTGCTTATTCTATATTCTGCTTTCTTTTTTAAAAAATTAAATTTATTATGGTGACATTGGTCAACATTAACATACAGGTTTCAGGTGGGGTTTCTGTTACAGGATCTATATATTGCACCGTGTGCCCATCACCCAAAGTTAAATCTTCCTGCTTTCTTAACATTACTTCATAGTATCCTTTTCTTCTTCATCTCCTGCTCATCCTGTTGAATGACTGCAGAATAGCCTGGTACTTGATTTATTACAATTTACCAGATTATTTTTTTGGGGGGTCGTCAGGTCTTTTTAAAATTTTTGCTGTTTCTTTATTCATTGCAAAGAAAAAAATGAGAAGCTCTAAGCTTGTAGTCAGTGCATTCTAAGACTCTTGCCCATTATTATTATTTTTTGCACACCTGCTCCTTTGCAGCAAATTCCTGGTTGTGGGCTAGTGGACCACAGTTAGGCCTGCCTTTCTGGGCTTCTGTGAGCAGCCATTTCTGTTCAGTTAGTGTGTTGCCAGGAGTGTGACAGCTGCCAATTTCTTTACACTTCACCAACCGTAGGTGCTGACATTTTATGCGTTTTTGCTGCTGTAGAACCGGGAACGTGGCACTTTGTAGCTGTGTGACTGCATTCCTTCGGGGTGTTTCCCTGGTGTGAGCTGTTGGTTTATATCCTCTGGCGTGGGGCCTTTTGTTCTCCCATTGGGTGTCCTGCTGATGTGGAGAGGAACCTGAGAACAGGAGGGGTGGGACTAAAGCAGGTGTTCTCTGCTGCTCATGGGTCTCTGTG